AATTAATGGTGCTGCTCGTTTGGTAAACATAAGACAAAAACCATTCTTAAGCCCTTAAACCTACTCAAAATTAGCATTTAAGTCCCTAAGCTAAAAATAATACAAATAAGCTCTCTAACTCCTCAACTTGTACAAATAAACCCTTTATAACTAACAGTCATTTAATATGGACTGACTTCAATTGGCAATGTTGATGTGGTGATGTACATAAGAGTTGACATGGATAAAAGTGCATTTTAAATGAAAAAATGTCTATTAATTTAAGACTATGTTATCAATAATGCCCACTATGCCACTACAGTAGCCATAGTGTAATGCTCCAAAGCTCCCCGCTATAATAATTGTAATAGTGTGGCAAATTACTAGTAATGGGCACATTAACAGCTATGGCAGTCACAATCCACATAGCAAATAGTGACTGTCATTCATGCTATTTGTTATTTCTTTTAAGAAGACAGAAATAACCTTTGTTCAACTAATTAAAGTCATTCTTTTAAAGGTAGATTTATCTTTTTAATTTTATTTTATTAGAAAAAGACCTAAGCAAACCTCAAATCTCTCAACTACGGCTTGCCTTCTCCTCTCTAAAATCCAAAGTTATCAACAGCCATGTCGCTTGTAGCCCTAAATCAACCTTGTCAACAACAGGCATTAGCCCACCTCTCGACTCCACAAAAGTCCACAAAGTTAACCCTATCCTCGATAGCAAGCCCTCTTATCTTCCTCTCTCTTCTTCATAGCTCAAAAATGCCCCTTCGATGATCAACCTCGCAAGTCTAAAACTCCAACCCCACATTCCCAAAGTGATTTATGAGTAAAATTCATTTGCATACACCTTGTTGTTTGCATACTTCATAGGTGTGTTGCTATGGTTGACCAAGGAAAAAAAAAAAAAAAGGTGTTGTTAACCCCCTATTTATTGATATGCACTATCTCTCTCCAATTCTTTTATCTTTCATTTTTTGAATTAAAGGATTATATGGACATTTACACACTATATTAAACACTATCAAATCTGGTGGGTATTAAGTCAACCTTCAACCTCTTAATCTTGGCATGTAGAGTATGTGCTGCAACAAGTTATTGCCTAAATCACTTAGACATATTGTTTTTGATATTCTTCTAAAAGTTAATTGGTAAAAACATTCTTAATGTTCAATTATTAGCAAAAGTTATTATTTTTATTTTATTTGATAATTTGCCATGCTATCTTAGTTCGTAAGAATTGAAATTGCTAGCTACTTGTGTTTTACTTTTAGTTTGTAGCAAAAGCAATCATGTTTATTTTACTTTATTTGCTTATATTATATTATTTTTGACAATGTTTTTTTTTTTTTGAGTTATTAGATCATTTAAATTTTTTTATTAGGTTTATAATTCAATTAGTTAAATTTACATTATATATAAATATTGCTACTATTGTATCAATAGCAACCACTTCGTTATCCATTATGTTATGATAGCAGATTTTTACCTTCCCGTTGTTGGTCACTTTTCGCTACTAATAACATTGTTTTAAGATAGAAAAAGTATCAAAAAGTTGTTTTTAAATCCTTTTTCTTTTTTTTTTATTTAAAATTTTTAAGATTTTGATAAGATTGGAAGATCCCTCCACATTACTATCTAGAACAAACAAAAAGAGAGAGAATAAATGGAGTCAATCCAGCCATTTGGGCAGTCAATTCCATTAGTTATGAAAAGATTATTTTCACCGATTAAGAAGTTTGAGGATTTATTTGCATCATTTTTAATTTAAGGACTTAAATGTTGATTTAGGATAA